CCCCAAAACCCCAAAACCCCGCATTCCCATTTTAATGTCTGAAGTTTAGGAAAATAATTTCTTTAATTAATAATTATTCTCTCTATAATCAACTTAAATATTACATCGATCAAATTTTATCTTGAGTATTTAACTTATCTTCCAAAAGCTGCTAAATTTTATGCTGCTGCCAGTGTACCTACAGATTATAATTAATCTACCCTAAAATCTCTCCCTATTAATAAATTATGGAAAGACGTTAATTCTTACCTACAAATTCCATAATTTCACTTCACCTTTGGCAGTAGACGTTAAGCATAGATATCTTATTAAAATAACTTTTATCACTTAATCCCCTTATCTCATATCCACTAAATGAGCCTTCCATCTGTTAATTTTGGTGAATCTAGTTCTGATTTCTTGAAGTTTATTGCTGTTGTTATTGTTACTGCTGCTATTAAATTCGTTAACATTCTTGCTTGACTAATCTTGAGTATTCAAATTAAAGTTGAAGTAATCTTTGACCCTGGACTCTTTATTATTATTAATATCTTATTCATCTCGCTCAAAGATGTCTTCTAAAATTGAGGAGTCATTTTTATTTTTCTAGTTTCCAAAGCTTTGCATCTTATTAGTCATAGTCTTCGCATTACTATTTTGAAATCTCACTTGATTTCGTTAGATTGTCTAATGCATAGGGCCTATCTCTATTCCTTCAAATATTTTATAAGTTTCGACAATACCACTATCACTCGCAACTACCAATGAATCTTCAATGCCCTCATTAACAGCCATGAAGCTATTGGAAACTGTCTTAAAAGCATAGGTCTTAAGAACTTTTGAACTTGCTGGATGGGCTATGTGAACATCTCCAGTGTTTTAAATTGCTAATATTATATTGTTGTGAAGGTTCAAGAACTAGAGACCCACAATATAGGTCTCTCTATTCTCATGAGAAGTATTTATAAGTTCATCTTGGCACGTTGGTAATTTTGTATAGCTTTTGAAAGAACCTGTAAATGCAGACCAGTATGAAATTTTATTATCCATTCCACCTATTGCAATATATGTCTCATTAGAAGTTATTGCATAGAGATCTCCTTGATGGACATTATTCTTAACCAGAATCTAACTCATATATTATTCTGAATTAGTTCCCCTTGATGACTTTGGATTTAGCATGCTACTAGGAAGTGGTTTGGTAAAAAATAGCACTTGGCCTATCTAGGTAGTGGCGCAAAGATAAAGATTGCTTGTTCCCTTTAGGAATTTCATCTGGATAAACTAGTATTAACTCTCTTCTTATGTTAGTTTGAATATTATAGTCCCAGAGTATAGGTTATTAACAGTCACGTTTCCATCATCATCACAAACTACTAGCTGAGAAGGATCTAATTCATTGAAGCAAGCATAATCAAGCTTGGCTTAATTTGAATTTTAAAGTTTAGCGTCTATATTTTTAAATAATGGTTTGTCTTTCTTGATTAAGAGTGTTTTATCAATTTCACCAGTTTCCAAATACCACGACTTCATCATGTAATCTGAATCAATTGTAATTAGTGCATTTTTCTGGGGTTAAAGGAATACTGAGACTAGGAAAGAGCTGTCTGAAACAAGCACGTTACCAGGGATTCCCGACCTTCTCTATTTATGTATTTGCCTTTTAGTTTATTCGTATTTGTTTTTTGTTGCCATTTTAACTTAATTTATTAAGCCCTCCTCGTGAATTACTTCTTCATAACTTATGCTTTTACGACTTAATGGTTCATTGTCCTTCTGATTTATTAAAGCCTGCGTTTAGAGAACTTGCAATTCTACTCTTTCATTAATCTTCATCTTAAATACCTTTGCAATTCTATTTACTACATACAATTTGTCTATCTTGGGTCCGAAACAAGCTGAAGTAAATGTCAAACTGGGATAGGCTAGGTCTTTGATGATTTATATGCATTCTAATTTGTTAGCGTCCCAAAGACTTATCTACTTGTCTTTTGAAATCGAAATAAGTTAGAAGTGTCTATCATAAAAATGCAGGAATATAATCTCATTTTAATGTTTCTAAGCCTAAGAAATTTTTATTTTAGCTGATTGGTCAAACATCTATAGTTTCCCATCTACACCTCCTGTGCATAAAAAACCTAATTGATTAGAGTATGCGCAGACTGTGATTGTGGTCTTCTCAAGGAAAGTCAAATGATGTTCATTGTAGTCCCATACCAATTTGAACTCCATTGCATCATAGTTTTGTACAACTCCATCAAAGGTTGTAAGTATTAGGCCACTATCTTCATTATAAAGTACATTTGTTATGGGTCCTAAACCAGACTAGATCTAATGTTTGAATACAATTTTCCCAAACTTACTTGTATCTTAATCAATTAAAACGATTTCAAACTGAGATACGCCAGCAAAGCATCCAATTAAATCTTTAGATACTTTATGTCTCTCAATTGTGATAGATGTGCAAATAAATGGGGTGAAATAGGATTTTTAATGCTCTTCTACTATTAAAGAGTCTTTTCTAGATTATTTCAAAGAAAAAAATTTATTCTCACAATCTATCAAGGAGAAAATCAGTAATTAGGTACTTGGATGAAAATAAGCTGTAATTAGATAAGGCTTCTTTTTAGAAGACTAGTTCTGTCCTGTTTGCTTAAATACCAATACCTTATCAGATATTGATAACTCTTGAGTTGGAATCACTATTTTAGAATCTTATTTGATCTTTAAAGATTTTATGTTTATCTTGTCACTGACTAAATCTGTAAGATCATCAATTTTATTCTTGGTAGAAAACACCTTGGTCTACAATCTTTCTGTTTTTTTCCTAACATCATTTTAAGCTTCATATTCTTCTGGGTCAAATTAGTTCATTCTTTTCTTAATCATTTGCTAGAAATAACTTTAGACATGCTACTTCGTATTGTGTCTTGCCATTAATGTCTTAATATTTGGGGGAACTTGATCTCCAAATGCTCCTATTTAGCCTCCCTTGCTCTTTGGTCTCATTGATTACTAGCTGGCTAATGGATTCATAAAGGATCTCAAAGCCTCCATAGGAGCTTCATTTTTATCTTTGACTTCTTCTTAGGTGTCGTTTCTAGTTGTCGATCTAAGCTATATTTTTTTGAGGTCCTTTGTAAATCTTTGAAACTCCAAATTTTTCATGATCTCACTGTTTTTCTGCTTAGCCACCTAGGCATCAAAAGTTCTTTCATTGAGTGGTTAGGGTTCAGAGTTTAAAATTTTTGTGATATCTTTACTTTTACTGAAAAATTCAAGAGAATTAAGATCATCAATTGGAGTCAACCCAAGAATACCGAAGTTCTTGTTTTTTTAGCCAGATCTTTTCTGTGAAGGAGTTTGAAACGCCCTTCTTTGACTATTAGCAGTCATATTTCTAGATTAGTTTGGATTGCTAGTCAAAGTCTACATCTTAAAAAATTAGTCATTAATCTTGCTGTTTCTGCTAACAAAGAAGGTTTTATTCATGTTTATTGATGAAGATTCAATTGATTACTTATCTGGTGATTAAGATTAGTCGTTTACACTTTAATACACTTTATTAATAAGTCTATTATTTTTAAAATTTCCAATTTAACTTGTTTAATACCCTCTTTCATTAATGTTGCTATCTGTTGCATTAAATCTAAGTTTTGATGCCTTTATGGTTGTATTAGCTTATTTAAGGAGTCTTGACCTGAAGTTAGACTCTGTTTGAGATTAGATTATTGTGGATGGGGAGGCTATCTCAGACTTATTAATGAAAGTGTTGGCTTTAGTTAGTTTGAATCTCTAAGATTAAAATTCATTATCTGAAATTGTTTCTATACTTGTGGAGCTATCACTGCTCATACTTGCTCTTTTTGTAGCTTGCTTGTTTATCTAGCTTAGCGTCTACGGCCTCTTCTTACTATTAATCTTATATTTTGCTTAGAAAGATAATGTGTGAAGACATTGAAAATTCTACAAATAAATGAGTTATATGGCAATACAATTTTACTCTGATGTCAAAGAATTAGGCTACCTTGTTTTCGAAGATGCAAAGTACAATCCTCAACGAATTCTTTCCTCCTTTGACCTCGATATAATGAATGCTCTCTACTCTGTACTCGGTTCTTCTTTAACTTAATCTGAACTCTGCTCCATGTGGTTTGCTTTGGTTCTCCCCGCTATATCCAAGATTAATGTCCTCCACTATCCTTGTCAAGCCACTGTGAAACAAACCAGCATTATGAATCTTCTCTCGGACTTTACCCTCGTTAGAAAACCATTCTAAAAATTCAGTCCAGGTTATTCTATCCCTATCTTTGTGGTCTAAAGTTTCAATAATTTTTTCTGTTTTGCTATTATCCCAATTCACAATCTTCCTCAGTTTTTCTATAAGTTTCTATATTGGTTTTAATAAACTTATTGCAAAGATTTACCCCTATTTCCACTCCTTTTATTTTAGGTCCTTTTTATTTTAGACTAGATGAATTCACAGAGTCTCGATTTCATTTAGTTATTTAATTCTCTGGAAAAAGCATCTAGAATTAGATATACAATAAAATATAATACTTTGATGTCGTTGAAAGTAGAAGTGTCAATATCGAATAGATGCTCAGGCTGGATCTTGACTCCATTCGCATCCAGATCCATACTCTGTAGCAAATCGTTTTCATCTTGGATCTCTAACAACAACTTATCAATTTTATTCATTTCTTTAGTTCTTAATTTAATTATAATTTTACCCTCTTAACTCCTTAGAAATGTATTAATTTTAGGGGTTTTGGGGTTTTGGGGTTTTGGGGTTTTGGGG